ACTTTGAGGTATTGACTCGCCAGTGTCGATATTACAAATTAGATACGATATATATATATATATATTGGTTTCGATACGTAAAGGTCTCTTAGCGACTAGAAAATGCAAGAGGAGATGATTCACTGGCTCCTAATCCCTCATACACTTGCAGAATTTTGGAAAAATTGTTTAGCTTTGATTGCATACTGAGACGCATTGAATGTGCAAAGAAGTCCTATAACACTGGAATCTAAAATTTTAAATGGAAAAACCACTTTTGCTGCAAATTTGATAATTGTCAATGCAAGAGGAGATGATTCAAGGGGAAAGATATTGCTATGACAGCCTATGAGTGTTAAAAGAACAGTAATGTTGTGATTTGACGACTAATTGGGATGGAGTAAGCTTACTCCGTAAAACATCACACCCGAATTGATATGTCTTGAATGGCTCTTTGGGCGGGGAGTAATGCTTTGTCATTATGTCTTGAATGGCTCTTTGGGCGGGGAGTCATCTTTCCTCCTCATCTCTCAAGTCTCCATTGTGTATTTTGAAATCAATCTCATCAAATGCTCCCTTCGTCCAATGGTTGTAATTTTGCAACTGGATTAGCGAGATGTTGGCCAATCTAAAATCATTCATAAAATTTCTGGTTCATCATGTTCTCTTGCAAAAGGCTCATAAAACCCTCTCTCACACAGTGTAAGATGTGTTACTGATTTTATATTGTGCTTGCTTCCATCATTTTTCAAGCATGTCTGATCAGTGTTTGAATAGTTGCACTAGCTAATATTATTGATTTTGCAATGTTTTTTGCCGAATTTCATGCAGTTGTCAAACATGTTGTAATCTTTGTTGTTTGTTCACTTGCTATTATCCCATAATTTCAGGTAGAGGAGAAACTGGAGGGTGGACGAGGGAAAACAACAGTCCGTCGTATCTTTTCTCGATTTTGTACACCGATATTCTTGGAGGTATGCCTAGTGTGTAGATACTTGTAGCAACACACTAAAGTCTCATGAAAATCAACTTCCTTTACTGTTTTGTTGTTTGTGCATTCTCAAGTTACCTAGGTTCTGTAGTCCTGTAATATTGTGGTACATTTTTATTTTTTATTTTGTACATTTTTGCCATTAATTCAAGAGAATAAATTGAAATTTGACTGATTTTTGTGTGTGTTTCTTTGTGTCTATACTTTGTGGTGCAGTCTTTCATCTTAACCTTTCTAGCGGAGTGGGGTGATCGTAGCCAGATAGCGACAATTGCTGTAAGATAATTTCTTTATCCTTGAATCTTGCTTGGCCTATATATGTTCTATTAAGGAGTACATAAACAACATTCATTTATCAAAAAGAAATGAAATAAAAATAACTGGACCAGCCTAATATTTAGGATTTTGTGCTCTCCTTGTTCATTTGCTCAATCAAATGTTTTGCTTTGAACCTCATATTTGGAACACATTCTATTTTGTATGCTGAATTTTATGTCAAAAGCTTGCCGTTTCCTTTCCGTAGCCCATATAAAACATGGTGTTACGATCGCTTGGTAATTGTAAATTGTAATTGGACTCTTCTCGTCGAAGCCTTCAATTGCAACTACAGATTTGGGCTGCATTTATAGAATATAAATGTACTATATATATATATATATATATATATATATATATATATATATATATTAATTTTCTCGATTCTGCAGCTGGCTACACACAAAAGTGCAATTGGAGTTGCAGTGGGAGCTACTCTGGGACACACCATCTGTACGTCATTGGCAGTAGTTGGAGGAAGCATGCTAGCATCCAAGATCTCACAAGGCACAGTAGCTACCATTGGGGGTCTGCTATTCCTTGGTTTTTCATTGTCATCATATTTCTATCCTCCAACCTGATTGTTTTGGAGCAGTTCTATGCTCCTCTATCTCTATCTCAATCTCTATCTCTCTCCATTCTTTAAAAAAAACTCTATTTTCATCTCTATCTCTCTCCATTCTTTAAAAAAAATTCTATTTTCCTGCTTATTCTTTTATACAATATTCGTATATGAATACATTAATTATTTTTCCCATTCAATTTTGATGCATGCTTACAGGAATCAATAATTTTCAATTGATAAACAAAAATGATTGACCCCTTCAATAGCTGTGTTAATGGAGGCAGGGAGGGGGACTAAAACTCCCTCCTGCAACATAGTGTGTTGTCCGGTCTAGTAAGTTATGTACCTTATAAAAATGTTGTGATGTTCAATATTTTCGTAACGTACATCACTAACTGAAGGGTACATGAGTACTGTATTGCTCGGAGAGGATTTTGATCCGGAGGGAGGGAAATGAAGAGAGTTGAAATAAGAATGAATTGTTGAGGAAGGTATTATTCAAGGATTTGGATCCTCTAGGGTGCATATAAACACTTCTTGTACTTTGTTGTACCTTAAAACCTTGGTTATCTTGCTGCATCACCTATTTTTAGGATGATATAATTTTAAAAGTAGAATAGTTTTACGATTTGAACCCTAAATTTAAACAAAAATAATGATGTGGCAAAATTATTAATTATTTTATAAATGTTCATTTATCTTATCTTAGGAGACTTGATACATCGAACCTAAAAGTCATACTCACCCAATATGCGTGTAACTTAGATGATACACTCTTGCCATGAATATTTAACAAGAAAATAATGGAGTATTAATATTTGATTCAATTAAGTAAAAACTATCATATTAAGAAAAATGGCAAAGTGCAATAAACTCCCATCGACTATTAGTGTTTTGCAATAAACCCCTTCAATTATTCAAGGAGTCAATCACAATCTTGGGTTAGTAGAATCCAGATTTTTTGTGTTATTTACGTCACTGCGTTTGTTATTGTTGACGCTTAAATTGGCTCCTAAGATCCGATTCGGAATTGATATGTTGCGGGCGTACTAGAACCAATTATATGGTTCGTGTGTGAGTTGTCAACTGCAATCTCTGTAACGACTCCAACCCGAGGGTTCGAATTGCTAACCGGGTCCTTATCCGAACCTGAGGTTAACTAAGGACACTACCATTCTTTCTTATGTTAATACATAGTATACGTGTCATCCCAGTGTTTGAAAATAAATAGTAATAGCAATAATAATAAAATGAGATTATAGCTACAAAATATGTCAAAATAGTCCACTAACCCATCGAACCCTGTGGAGAAGCGTTGTCTGCTACTTTCCTTCCGTATCCTAAAAAATATTAATAATAAAAGGGTGAGCATAAGCTCAGTAAGAAGTATCTAAGATACACTTCTTATGACTTCGTGAATCCATACGAAGAATAGGTAAAGGCAAACGGGATCATGCCATATGGACTATATCTATATATATATATATATATATATATATATATATATATATATATATATATATATATATCAATAACACCACAACCAACATATACCCAAATATCATCCGATCATCCATATACCAAATATACTAATGAGATGCAATGTCATGCTAATGTCGCTCCCCGTTTTTCAAAACAATTCCATCATACCGTTCCAAACCATTAATGCAATTCGGCCTATAGCACCTCTGTAGGGCCACGAGGGAAGGATTGACTAGCTTTCCCCGACCACATGGCACGTCAATGGCGTCGTCTGGGCCTAGGTAGCTCAACTTGCCTCTAGATCACATTAACACCCGCGCCTCTTAGGCGTCCGGTTTTCACAAACCTTTCATCAAAAATTATTTCCCAAAAACAATTTCCTTTCTTTTAAGTTACTTTCCCCCTTTTCTTTTCCAATGAATGCTTCATGCGTTTCAATGCCGTAATATCATGCAAATCAACTCTAACAAATATTACAAGCTTATTAAGATAATTCTCATGGAAGAACAACATACATATAAATAATCAAATTTTAGCCATTAAATATAAGAATTTAAAGCACATCCATTTAAGCATGATTTTTATTCATTTTAACAATTATCGACTCACAAGTCACTTTCACATAGAAACCCACATGGATATACAAATTTAATATACAACACTAAAGAAATTTCTCCAAAGAATAATCACATTTAAGCATGTTGTCCATTAATTATAGGAAAATGAATCACAAGAACCAAAGATTGAGTGAATTAAAATACCCCTACCTCAATTTTGTAGAAAAAGCCCCAAAATTCGAAATTCCTACGGCGGCCAAAAGGAGATTGGCTTGGATCAAAACGACGGCCTCGATGAGCTCTCCAAATTTGCCTTAAGCAGCACTATCAAATTCTCAAAGGTGAGAGAGAGAGATCAAAGCTTGAATCATTGAAGAAAAGAAAAAGAAAAAGAAAAAGGAAAGTGAAGGGAAGAGAGAGAACCGGCGTGAGAGAGGGAGAGAATGGAAAAATCTGTAGAAACAAAATGGCTTTAAAGCCATTAAATGAAATGATAATAACATAATATATATAAATATATATACACAATTACCTATCACCACAGAAATAACAACACCACCAAACAATTATGCATAATTAATAATGCATAAAATGCAATGGACCCACGACACAACCCCCGTACACAACAATCCCGGTAACGGGTCCCACCTGAAACCTTCCGGTCCGAAAATAGAAAATTGCCAAAATGATAATCAGTGCATTTTCAAGAGTTCTGAACACAATAAAATGTCCCACACAACTCTCAGACACACTCGGCACATCCCTCGGTGTCTGGTATGTAAAATGAGAAAAGCCGAAAATACCCTCGTAAAATCATCTCTGAGCTTTTTTTCATCATCTCTGAGCTTTTCTCCCAAACCCTAGCCCGTTCTTCGTTTATCTTCTTTCGTGTTTTCCATAGAGAATATCAATATATAAAAAATAAAACTTAAAAAAATAATAATAATAATTAACCTAAATAAAATAATAACTAACCCTAAACTAATTGTTCACTGGGCCTTTAAATAACAAATCCTATTCAAGCCCATTAGTTACAAAAATAAGCCCAAAAGACAAAATTTCGTAGCCATCAAAACAGGTCCAACCCGTAACTTAAATTGTTGCCAGCAACATGGCGTTCAGACGCAGTGTATGGGAAGCTTGCGTCTGGATGCAAGGAATGGCGTCCGGACGCAGTGCACTCTACTGCATCCTTGGCATTTTTCTGATTTCTTCTGAAATGTTCTGGAACTTTCTACTTGTCTCCAAAAATACGGTAATGGACTGATTTAAACGTGTTTGAAATTTATTGCCTTGAAATACATATAAACATAAATTAGGACTAAAACATAAAAATAAGATAAATACAAAGATTAAAATACCCTAGTTTAGGTGTTAAAATATGTAACATTTAAGCACTTATTACTTGGAAGGAGAGTATCATATTAAATAAGGTCCATATTATGGCTAAGAAGGAGAGTACTATATTTAAATAAGGTCCATACTCTGGCCAAGAAGGAGAGTATTATGCCATATAAGGTCCATACTCTGGCCTAGAATGAGAGTACTATATTTTAAATGCCTGTAAAGCTGTAAGTTATATGTTATGAGGTTTAATTGAAGTTATTAGATAATATTTGTTTATATTACTCTGATGTAGTAGTGTTGCATTCACTGGGCTTTAAGCTCACTCCTTCCATATCTATATTTTTTAGGTAATGCCTGTAAAGCTGTAAGTTATATGTTATGAGGTTTAATTGAAGTTATTAGATAATATTTGTTTATATTACTCTGATGTAGTAGTGTTGCATTCACTGGGCTTTAAGCTCACTCCTTCCATATCTATATTTTTCAGGTATGAGGTTGGGTTGCTATTACCACGTCTAGAGTTTTACGTGTGAAAGGAGAAAAGAACAATGGAATGTCTTTTGTATAAAATGTAAATATTGTAGTAGAATTTAATATTGTGACTTGTAGTTAATTTTTTAGGTTTCTTAGAACGTGCAAGGTGGATTTATAGTTTATCTTTAATTATAAACTTTTAAGCATGCACTCTAAGATATGATGACATCACGTATGTATGAGGTTAATGTAGATGGTTAGATACATTCCAATTGTTCCATTTATTAAATATTGTATATTGGGTTGGGTGTGTCAACTTTTGGTATCAGAGACTAGGTTTTCTAGGTTCTGGAGGTAGTAAGAGTCTAGACTGGCAGTGGCAGTAGGAAATGTGTAGTAAAGTCATTTATTTGACTTGATTTTATACTAACAAATATATTTGGTGATTATGTATCATATATATATGTTGTTATATTTGAGATTCATTGCAGATAAAAAGTAATGGAAGGAGGAAGTGGTTATTAGAGAATCGAGGAAGAAGCCTCTTATGTTCCTATTGAGGCTGAAGTAAAACAACCTATTCAGGGTGATATGGGAAGAGAACAGGAGCAATTAACTGGTATGCAGAAAATGGAGAAGGTTATAACAGACTTAGCAGAACAAAATATATAATTTATGGCAAGTCAAATCATAATGCAAGAAAGGCTAGAGAGGCAGTAGAAAGGAAAAAAAGGCTCGGATTATGAGAGGTTTATAAAGTTAACACCCTCAGAATTTTTAGGTAATACCAAACCAGAAGAAGCAGAGGGGTAGGTAAGAAGAATGGACTCAATATTTGCAGTAATGGGTGCAGCAGAAAACCAGAAAGTAAACTTAGCCACATTTATGTTAAAAAATGACGCTAGTTATTGGTGGGACACAACAAAACATTTATTTCTTACTCCAAGAGAAAAATAGGTGATATTCTGGAATCCATTTGTTAAAGCTTTTTATGAGAAATATTTCCCTCCAATTTATAGAAAAGAGAAAGAACGGGAGTTTATTCTCCTAAAACAAGATACAATATCTGTAACTGATTATGAAGTTAAGTTTGCAGCTTTATCGAGGTTTGCACCTAAGTTTGTACAGAATGAAGAAGATAAATGTACAAAATTCCAAGATTGGTTAGAGGCTGCTATTAAGTTCAAAGTTTCAGTTTTTGAGGAAACAAATTACAATAGACTTGTTAATAAAGCCATGATTGCTGAAAGGGATGTGAAAGAATTGCAAGAAAGAAGGGAACAATACAAAAGAAATAGATTTGAGCCATCACAATCAAGAGGAGGTGAAGGAATTTCAAGTCAGAAAAGTTAAAGGTCGCGGTATGGAAGGGGAAGGGGTAGTGAATCTCAAGGGCAGACATCAGGTATTGGAAGAGGTCAAGGGCTTTCTGAACAACAATTTGTACAACAAGGTAGCTTTGGAGGACGTGGTACTGGCAGGGAGTGCTTTCAGTGTGGAAAGGAAGGCCATCAGAAGAATGATTGTTCTATGTTGAAAGCAGAAGAGTGCTATCATTGCCATCAGCCGAGCCATCGGAAGAGAGAATGTCCGATGTTGATAGGACTGACTTCAGTGGGTAGTGTTGCTGGTTCTGGTAGAGGTTTTGCACAGGGGAACTCGTCAAGAGGAGGTAAGGGTGCTACAAGTGGTTCACAAGCCCAGGGAAAAGTATTTGCTATGACACTTCAGGATGCTCAAGCAACACCAGAAGTGGTGACATGTACACTTTCTATTTTGGATAGAAATGTTACTGTGTTTATTGATCCTGGCTCAATCCATTCATTTGTCGCATCATTTGTTGCTATAAATTTGGGTAGACCACTTTCATTACTAGATAGTAAATTATTTATTTCTACACCAATGGGGGAAGTGGTAGTGGTTGCAAATGAATATCGGGATTATGTATTACAATTGGGAGATAGACAGTTAAAAGTGAATTTGATACCGTTGAGCATACCAGACTTTATAACATTTTGGGTATGAATTGGCTATCTGCGTATCATGCTTCAATAGATTGTTTCCAAAAAGAAGTTGTATTTCAGATACCAGGGGAGCCAGAGTTCAGATTTATTGGGGAAATAAATGTTATTCCGAACTGTCTCATTTCAGCTATACAAACTAGAAAGTTGTTGAAGAAAAGTTGTCAGGGTTACTTGGCTTATGTAGTTAATACTGAAAATAAAGATGTGACACTTGAAAATGTACCAGTGGTAAGGGAATTCACAAATGTGTTTCCAGAAGAATTGCCGGGGTTGCCAGTGGGCAGAGAGGTAGACTTTACCATTGAGTTAGTACTGGGAACAACTCCAATTTCTATTGCTCCGTATCGAATGGCACTAGCAGAATTGAAAGAATTAAGAATTAAAGATATAGTTGCAAGATTTACTGGATAAGGGCTTCATTCGACCTATTATTTCATCATGGGGTGAACCGGTGTTATTTGTTAAGAAGAAAGATGGTACTATACGGTTGTGTATTGACCACAGACAGTTAAATAAAGTAACCATCAGAACAAGTATCCATTGCCATGAGTTGATGATCTGTTTGATCAGTTACAAGGGGCAAAGGTGTTTTCTAAGATTGACTTGAGGTCAGGATATCACCAGTTGAAAGTAAAGGATAGTGACATTTTGTAAACTGCTTTCCGAACTCGATATGGCCATTATGAGTTTTTGGTAATGCCTTTTGGGTTAACAATGCTCCAGTGGTGTTTATGGATTTAATGAATCAAGTATTTCATCTGTATGTCGACTCGTTTGTTATTGTCTTCATCGATGCTATTTTGATTTATTCTCGGAGTGTGGATGAACATGAAAAACATTTAAAAATTGTACTACAGATTTTATAGGAGAAACAACTTTTTGCTAAGTTTAGCAAATGTGAGTTTTGGCTTGATAAAGTTGTATTTTTGGGGCATGTGGTATCTGGGGATGGTATTTATGTTGACCCGTCAAAAGTAGAAGCAGTAGTGAAATGGGAAAGGCCAACTAATGTGACAGAAGTCAGAAATTTTCTGGGATTAGCAGGTTATTACAAGAGGTTCATCTAAAGGTATTGCGTTGCCATTAACGAAGCTGACCCGAAAGGAAGTAAAGTTTGTGTGGGGTGAAGAATGCTAAAGAAGTTTTGAAGAATTGAAGAAAAAGTTAACGTCAGCCCCAGTGTTAACTGTTCCGTGTGGTGGTGAAGGTTTTGTGATTTACACTGATGCTTCACATCAGGGTATGGGATGTGTTTTGATGTAGAATAGAAAGGTAATTGCATATGCTTCGAGACAATTGAAGAATCATGAATTGAACTATCCTACACATGACTTGGAGTTAGCTATTATTGTTTTTGTTTTGAAATTATGGAGGTATTATCTGTATGGTGAGATTTGTGAAATATTCACTGATCATCAGAGTTTGAAGTATTTGTTTATACAGAAGGATTTAAATTTGAAACAAAGGCGTTAGATGGAGTTAATCAAAGATTATGATTCTAATATTCACCATCATCCTGGAAAAACCAATGTAGTAGTAGATGCTTTGAGTAGGAAGTCTTCAAGGAAACTATCTTGTGTACAGTGTGCACGGGTGGCAAATATTATGGAGTTGAGACTGATGGGAGTTGAATTGACAATTATTAATAAATGAGCATTGTTTGCACATGTTACGGTGAGACCTTTGTTGCTTGATCGAATTAAGGAGTTGTAAAGTCATGATGTATTCTTGGATAAAAAAAGAAACGAAGCTCAAGAAGGTATGCAAACTGAATTTACAGTTAGGGATGATGGGACTTTGTATTTTAAAAGTCGAATTTGTGTTCCAAATGAAGTTTCTTTGAAGAAAGATAGTTTAGATGAAGCCCACAGTTCTATATATGCTATGCATCTAGGAAGTACTAAAATGTACAGGGATTTGAAGGAATACTACTGGTGGAATAATATGAAGCGTGAAATTATAGAATTTGTAACAAAGTGCTTGGTATGTCAACAAGTGAAAATTGAACATCAGAAACCAGTGGGGTTGTTGCAGCCATTACCAGTTCCATAATGGAAATGGGAGCATGTAATAATGGATTTTGTGACGGGACTTCCAAGATAAAAAAAGGGGACATGACTGCATTTGGGTGATAGTTTATAGATTGATGAAATTATCTCATTTTTTGGCAGTGAAAACTACTTATTTTACCAAGGAGTATGCTCATTTGTATGTTGATGAGATCATATGTTTGCATGGGGCTCCAGTTTCTATTGTTTGTGATAGGGATCCGAAGTTCACTTTTAGATTTTGGTGTAGTTTGCATGAAGCCATGAAAACTTCTTTGAAGTTCAGTACAGCTTTTCACCCGCAGACAGATGGGCAGTCAGAATGAATTATTCAGATTTTGGAAGATATGTTGAGAGCTTGTGTACTGGATTTCAAAGGTAGTTAGGATGATTATTTATCATTGATTGAATTTGCTTATAATAATGGTTATCAGTTTACTATTGGGATAACACCATATGAAGCATTGCATGGGAGGAAATGTAGAATTCCATTGTGTTGGGGTGAAATGGGTGAAAGAAAGTTATTGGGTCCAGAAATGATTGAACTTACAACAGAAAAAGTGAAGATAATTCAGCAGCATATGAAAGTAGCATATGATAGACAGAAAAGTTATGTGGGTGTGCAAAAAAGAAGGGATTTAGAGTTTGAAGTTGGTGATTTTGTTTTTCTTCGTATTTCTCTCTAGAAGGGTATTATGAGGTTTGGAAAGAAGGGTAAATTAAGTCCCAGGTACATTGGACCGTATAAAATTCTGGAACGGATAGGAGCAGTAGCTTATCGGTTGAAATTACCAAAACAATTATTAAGATTACATGATGTTTTCCATGTGTCTATGCTTTGGAAGTATATATCAGATCCATCTCATGTTTTAGTTGTGGAATCGATAGAGTTGAAGGAAGATTTGACTTATGTAGAGGAACTAGTACAGATTTTGGATCGCCGAGAGCAAGTGCTACGGAATAAAACTATATCACTGCTAAAGGGATTGTGGATAAGTCACATAGTTGAAGAAGCGACTTGGGAAAGCGAGGAAACTATGAGAATGCAATATCCTCATTTGTTCGGCGGATACCTCGGGATCCTTAGATCGACACTTTGGGTAGTTATGTAATTAATAATTAGAGGTCTATATTCTTAATATTTGCATTAGTGGTATTTGTATTTATTTTATTTTGATTATGGTTGATCACAAATTAAATTCGAAGGCCTTCGTATGTTTTAGACAAATGTTTTCTATATATATTTATTTAATAAATTATTATTATTTTTTGTCAAATAAATATTTTATTGTGATCGAGCCGAAAATAATCAAAGGTAACAAAATAATTATATTAATTATGTTGTCGGATTGGTGGCTTTAATTATCCGATAAATAATTAAGCATAGAGGGGTCAAAGTGCAACATTGACTTAGAGGTTATTTACTATTTAATTGGAGTGCAATTAATTTCTTTTAGTGGAGTAGAAATTAATTTATGAATTAATTGAATTGGGTCCATGGTTTAATAGACCGGACCAATTATTAATTTATAGGAGCCAAGAAAATAGTAAGCCCAAAAGGATTCTCACCAATAGCCCAAGTTGATATTAGAGTCATGTTAGAATTGAGAAAGTTGAATTAGAGATGGAGAATGATTTATTGTTTCCTTATTCTTATTTTTATTTTGCCTATATATACAAGAGTTCATGTATATTTTAGGGTAACTTTGAGAACAAGAAAAAGGAATACACTTTCTCTCTCTAGATTTTAGGGTTTTGTTTTCTCTTCTAAAGGGTTTGAGTACTTTATCACTTTCATTGATGATTATTCACGTTTTGGATATATTTACCTAATGCGACACAAGTCAGAAGCTTATGGAAAATTCCGTGAGTTTTAGGCGGAAGTGGAGCGTAGATTAGGTAAACTTATCAAAACACTTCGATCTGATCGAAGAGGTGAATACCTCTTGGGGGAGTTCAAGGATCATATGGTCAATGAGGGTATTGTGCGCCAGTTATCTGCACCTGATTGCCCTCAACAGAATGGAGTGGCAGAAAGGAGAAACAGAACTTTACTTAACATGGTTAGATCTATGATGAGTTTTGCTACATTACTTCTATCATTTTGGGGATTAGCCTTAGAATCAGCGATGTATATTTTGAACTGTGTTCCATCCAAGTCTGTTTCAGGAATGCCATATGAGCTGTGGTTTGGACATAAATCTAGTTTAAATCACATGAATATATGGGGGTGTCCAGCACACGTGCGAAAGAAACATGCAGACAAGTTGGAAGCAAGATCAGATGCATGCTTGTTTGTTGGCTATCCTAAGGGCACTAGAGGTGGATTATTTTATGATCCCAGGGACAATAAGGTTATTGTCAGTACTCATGCTGTTTACCTAGAGGAGGATTATATTATGAACCACAGACCTAGTAGCCAGATAGTGTTAGAGGAGATGGTTGGCACGTCAAATATAGCCCCTGTGGACACAACTAATATAAATACTGAGAATGATGAGACACAAGAAGTCCCTATTGAATTACCATCATCTAGTACATCGATTCCTACACCTGTCCTTCGGCGTAGTCGGAGGACTATCATCCAACCCGAAAAACTCACACTTTTGGGTGAGGTCTATGAGGCCGTCCCCGATAAGCACGAGTCAGACCCAGTAAGCTATGCGGAAGTGTTGACCGATATAGATGCGAATCATTGGAAAGATGCCATGAAATCAGAGTTGGAATCGATGTATTCTAACAAAGTCTGGGATATTGTAGAACTTCCTAGTGGGGTTCAGCCCATTGGTTGTAAGTGGATCTACAAACAAAAGAGAGGAATGGATGGGAATGTTGAGACATTCAAAGCTAGACTGGTTGCCAAAGGCTTCACTCAACGTGAAGGTATTGATTATGAGGATACATTCTCACCAGTTGCAATGCTTAAATCTATTCGCATTCTTTTGGCCATTAGTGCTTATTATGACTATGAGATATGGCAGATGGATGTTAAGACGACATTTTTAAATGGCCATCTTGAATAAGACATCTATATGAGGCAACCAGACGGTTTCGTGGTTAAAGGTCGTGAGGACTGTGTATGTAAGTTGAATAGGTCTATTTATGGACTTAAGCAAGCTTCACGCACATGGAACATTTGTTTTGATCAGGCAGTCAAATTATTTGGCTTTGAACAAAACGTGTTTGAACCTTGCTTTTACAAGAAAAAACAGGGTAATGTCATCATGATTCTCGTTTTATATGTTGATGACATCTTACTCATTGGTAATGATGTAGAGGCTTTGTCATCAGTTAAAAGGTGGTTGTTCAATAAATTTGAGATGAAAGATCTTGGAGAAGCAAGCTATATTCTTGGGATCAAGCTTATGCGAGATCGGGTTAAAAAGAAAATAGGCTTGTCTCAAGAGTCTTACATTGACAAAGTTCTGATCAGGTTTGGAATGGAAAACTCTAAGAAAGGGTTTTTTCCATTTAGACATGGGTTGGCTCTTTCTGATGATCAGTCTCCCAAGACTGATAAGGAAATTGAGCAAATGAGGTGGGTACCATATGCTTCGGCAGTTGGTAGTCTCATGTATGCCATGGTCTGTACCAGACCGGACATCTGCTACTCTGTAGGGATTGTCAGTAGATATCAGTCCAATCCTGGACTTGATCATTGGTCAGCTGTGAAGAATATCTTAAAATACCTTAGAAGAACTAAGAATCTAATGCTCATTTATGGAGGTGATGATCTGGTTCCAGTCGGATATACGGATTCTGATTTTCAATCAGATCCAGATGCCAGGAGATCTACATCTGGATATGTGTTCAAGTTCAATGGAGGGGCAGTTAGTTAGAAGAGTGTCAAGCAGGGTTGTGCTGCTGACTCAACCATGGAAGCAGAATACATTGCAGCCTCTGAGGCAGCAAAAGAAGCTGTTTGGTTGAGAAACTTTCTAATTGAACTGGAGGTTGTGGAGCACATAGATCGGCCTATGACGCTTCATTGCGACAATAGTGTAGCTATAGCCCAAACGAAGGACCCAAAATTTCATAAAGGAACAAGACACATTCAAAGGAAACATCATGTGGTTCGTGATATAGTAAAGCGAGGAGATATACTTGTGGCCAAGATTGCATCGGAACATAACCTTGCTGATCCATTCACAAAGGCTTTACCGATTAAGATGTTTGATCGTCATATGGAGAACATGAGAGTTAGATGTGATTCGAATTGGCTATAAGTGCAAGTGGGAGCTGTTAGGATATGTGTGCCCTAGCATAGCAAATTCTAATTTTGGATTGTAAAAGTCATGGTTTCTTATCTGGATATTATTATTAAAGCATTATACAATTGGTGAATGGAGTGTATTATTTATTCGATTCATTATGGAATTGATTGTGTCCACTTGATTACAAAATATATTTATATGTATGTAATGGCAATTCATACTATGTTATAAATTAGTAATCATAAATGGTTTAAAGTCGGTAATTATGGATGGACATTTAATTAGTTAAGACTTAAACCGAGTCCATGATAGATTGAGATATATTGCGAGAGCTGTCGTATGCAATTGCTCTCTATTACAGTCATGGCTTTTGACTCTCAAGCATGAGAGAAGTATAGACTCTCAAGCATGAGAGAAATTAATTTATGAATTAATTGAATTGGGTCCATGGTTTAATAGACCGGACCAATTATTAATTTATAGGAGCCAAGAAAATAGTAAGCCCAAAAGGATTCTCACCAATAGCCCAAGTTGATATTGGAGTCATGTTAGAATTGAGAAAGTTGAATTAGAGATGGAGAATGATTTATTGTTTCCTTATTCTTATTTTTATTTTGCCTATATATACAAGAGTTCATGTATATTTTAGGGTAACTTTGAGAACAAGAAAAAGGAATACACTTTCTCTCTCTAGATTTTAGGGTTTTGTTTTCTCTTCTAAAGGAGGCTACCACCAGGTGGTGTGTGTGTGTGTGGTGATTGTAAGTGTAAATGGGTGTGCCCATGAGGTGATAAATTTTTATATATAAATGCACAATATATATTATCACATGAAGATATATATGGAGGTTTTCACACTTCTCTTTGCTGGTGCTTGAAGTTTCTAGATATATATTATTTATGTTATTAAGTGGTTTAAAGGTTTGAAGAAAACCTTGTGGTTTGACTAGTATATACATAATAATATATTATAAGTGGAGTAAAGCTTCAAGCTTAGTAAAAGGCAAATTTCTGCCCGCACAAGACAGCATGCTCTTGGACCTTTGAACACGTGGGTATATGTGTGGCAGCATATGTGTAGTGTGTTTGCTTAGCTTTTATTTTTATATAAGTAAGCTTCTAATAGAAGCTGTGTTAACCGACTGCACACAAGAGGGTAGTATATATGTTTAAAAGTCTTGTTCATTGCGGATATAGTTATGGACACACTAATAGACTGAAAATAGTGCCCGTTTGAGAGCAAGCAAAAAGTGGAAAATAAAAGAAGAGGAAAAAGGGAACGAATTCTCTTTCGAATTCTTGTTGACCAGTACCAAAGGTAAATAATTTCATATTTTTTTATTATTTTTCAAATGAGTTGTGTAATAGTATAACTTGATACAACTCTTGCCTACTTGTAGTTACTTTGCTGAAATTTAAGTTATATACTGGTGAAAGGGATTTTAATTACTGTGAGTATAAATGGTAGGATT